TGTGCCCGGCGCTGCCCCCCGAGCCCGCGGCCGTGCCTCACCGTCCGCCCGCAGCTCGGCGAGCGCCGGGGCGGGGGCGGCCCCCGCCTCCTCCATGCTGGCGGTGCCGGAGCCCGCGCGTCACTCCCGGACGCGGCGCGCGGCGATGATGGCGAAGGCGCGCGACGGAGCGGGCGGCGGCGGCGGCACGTGGTGAGCGGGGCCGCCGGGAGCGAGCGCGGCCCGGGCCGTGCCCGAAGGAGTTGTGCTGGGTGGAGCTGGGCCGTGAGGGGCCGTGAAGGAGGAACCGTGCCCAAATGGGCTGTGCAGGGGATAGCTGTGCCGTGAGGGGCCGTGAAGGAGGAACCGTGCCCAAATGGGCTGTGCAGGGGATAGCTGTGCCGTGAGGGGCAGGCCGTGCCGGGGGGAGCCGTGCCCGAATGGTCTGTGCATGGGGGAGCTGTGCCGGGGGGAGCTGTGCCGTGAGGGGCTGTGCTGGGGGGAGCCGTGCCGTGAGGGGCTGTGCAGGGGCAGGCTGTGCCGGGGGGAGCCGTGCTGTGAGAGGCAGGCTGTGCTGGGGGGAGCCGTGCTGTGAGGAGCTGTGCCGTGAGGGGCTGTGTAGGGGCAGGCTGTGCCGGGGGGAGCCGTGCTGTGAGGGGCTGTGCCGGGGGGAGCCGTGCCGTGAGGAGCCGTGCTGTGAGGGGCCGTGCCGGGAGGGCTGTCCCCAGCGAGCCGTCCCCGGCACCCTGCGGGGGAGCAGCCTCTGGCCGGCCGCTTCACCAGAACGAAGTGCTGTGTAAACTGTGCTGCTCTGCAGCATAGCCTGTGAAAAATAGCTGAATGACGGACGTTTCAGACGCTGTTTGTTTTTCCAGATGCCGAAAGGACTGTTAATTATGCATGATTGATGACATCAGAGAAACTAAAGAATGCCAACTAAAAGATCCCATGGATTTGTTTCATTCTGGGCAAGTTGTAAAAATATGTGCTCCTATGGTCCGCTATTCAAAGTAAGTAACTGTCGTGTCAACTCTGTCATTTTCTCTGTTTAGAAACTTGTTTCTCAAATTTATCATGACTAAAAATGGGTGATTACCTTCTCTTTTATTTAAGACACAGATAGATGTAGGACATGTTTTATTTTACATATTTTCATCACAGACCTACAAATATAATACTCAAACATTCCCACAATACTGCATGTTAGAACAGCATTTTAGGGTAGTTAATCAGAAAAAATGCCTTAACTATTTACCTCTTAATCTTCATGTGTCTGCAGGTTGGCTTTCAGAACCTTGGTTAGGAAGTACAGCTGTGATTTGTGTTACACACCAATGATAGTGGCAGCTGATTTTGTGAGATCTGCAAAAGCCAGAGACAGCGAATTCACAACAAACAAAGGTATTATTTTTAATAAGCCATTGCCTCATCAGAATGTTTTATGTGGTCGTAAGCCAGGTGAATTGACCAGGTGAATGAAGTGGGTTACAGACCTTGACATCTGTTAATAATTTTGGTAATCTGATTATAAAAACACAAATAGTCTAAGTGAGAGTAAGCACAGTCCCGTGATAGTGGGTGAAATGAAATAGTGGAAAACCTTGTCTCCACCTGAAATCAAGGCCTCCAAAGTGATTTATATCTGTGGGGGCTGACCACACATAGTTGCTCACTCATTCCTCCTTCATTCTCCCAGCAGCACAGGGGGAGAATAGCAAGAGCAAATGAAAGAAAAATTCATTTGTCAAAATAAAGGCTGCTTAATATGTAAAGGAAAGAAACAAACAAGCAAAGGCATTCTCTTCCTACTGGCACACTAAAGCCAAGCCACTCTCCAAGCAGTAGCTGCTCTGGAACAAAAATTCCATGTCCCAATCCACCTTTTTCTTTCACTGTCATTCCAGTTTCCTTGCTGAGCTTGATATACTTGTTATACAGTATGGAATACTCCTTGTTTCTGTTTGTGTCAGCTTTGTCATAGCTTTGTCTGCTGCAAACTTCTTGCCCACCCCAGTCTGTTTTTTGGGGGTAGGGCGAAGGAAAGTGAAAAAACCAGGAAGTTTTGACACTGTGCATGTACTTTGCAACAACAGCCAAAACAATTGTTTTGTGAATTATCAACACTGGCTTTATCACAAAATCCAAAATGCAGCACCACACTGGCTATTATAAATGAACTTCAAATAAATTTGACAAGTAACTCCATCCATCACAGTTAGGCCAGGTACAAGACAGCAGTAAGATTCTTTTTCTAGCAATTGTTTCGTGTGTGTTTCAGAGACAAACATTTAACTCATCCAGGAAAATTTTCTAGTCTCTAGCAAAAATAAGAGTGTTACTGAAGGTGAAAAAAGTAATAGACCAGCCATTGATACAGTGGAGTCAAGGACTGACAAAAGAAGAAGGGTTTCATATTAGCCAGACTGGAAGGTGGAAGGGGCTGTTGGTGGATGACTCGAGGTATGAGCGCAAGAAAGCACAAAAGAGACACAGAAGGAGGTTTAAGCATGGCTGGAGTTGAGGGGGAGAAGCAAGGCTTCAGGCATGGCACAGAAACATAACCAGAACAGCTATAAAAAGAAGTATGAGGACTTGTACAGTGTCATGGCTATAAAGAGATCTGAAGTATGTGGGAAGAGGTGATAAGAATGATAGAGATCTGTTGGCATGAAGTGGCTGCAGCAGAACAGTGACAAGGAATATATGAGCATAGCTGCAGCTGGAGGAACGAAAAGCACCTCTAACAGGCCAGTAAGATCAGTGTAGGGTCTATGAATTGGGATGATTCAGTCTGCTCAGAATTTGTGGTTTCGTAAGTGTATATGTAATAGGGAAAGTGTACTTCACTGCTTTAGTGTTGGCTGTGTATTATGGTGCATTATTCAATTTGAACAGAGAAATTACAGAGAAAATTCACATTGGAAAGCACAGGTAGGCTCTTATGAGTGGAATGCGACTTCAAAAAATCCATGGTTAACTCATTGTATGTAAAAATAAATGAGTAAGAACATAACTGACTCAAATATATATGGCTCAAAGCTCCACAGTTACTAGTTTGCCCCCCTTGACTTTACTTACACTTCTGATCTACACAAAGTATGGTGGCATTGAAGTTCTGCAGCTCAGATATGGAGTGTATTCTGGGGGGTGATGGGACAGGGAAAGAGGAGATGAAATGTTTCAGTGTTGTAAACAACATCTTTTTCCTACTCAGATGTTTTATGCTGTCCTTAATTTCACAGGCCTGTGAAACACTCTGCCTCGTGCTTTGACCAGATTATAGTATTTACATTATTGGCATTTATATTTTGTGTGGTTTTGTGTTTAACTTGCTGGCTGTTTGGGGATTTTGTCTTCTAATTAGTGGGGTAGGTTTGCAATTGATATTTTACATTTCTGCTGCATTAATGTTTCCTTGTTGTGTATTTCTCAGAGGTAGGTGTTCTTTGTGGCTGCTGCTAAAAAATTTTATGTGGCTAGACTCAGTATTTTTATTACTTAATGCTCAACAAAGAGAAACTAGGCATGTGGGCTTATTCTAAAATATTAGGTGTAACAATGTAAATCTCTTCAGCTAGAGCACTGTATTAAGAGGACATTTTTGAAAATATGCATGCAATTTTTTTTTTGCTTGCTGGATTTTTAGGTAACTTCTAGAAGTGTCTCAGCTTGATTGAGAGGGTAGTCATGACCTTTCTTACTTTATCTCCAGCATTTCAATAACCACTTTCCTCTAAAACAGAAAGACATTCAGAAAGCACTTGTGGTCTCTTCGGTACAAGAAGTGCACTTGTTTTGTGCATTTGTTGGCTCATCTCTTTCCATCAGTGCTCAGATATCATGCTGCTTCTTCTTAACTACAGCAATTGTTTATATGGAAAGTGAGTGCTGAGACTGCTTGAGATATCTGAGATGCCTTTAATGTAATGCAGTAGCTGTAAAAGAGGAACTCATGTTCCAAATGACCATCTGGCTCTCTGCAGGGGCTTAGTAAATCACAAGTAGTTCAGCAGACCCAAGCTGAGGAGCACTGGCACTTTGGTTTCTCGCTAGAGACAAAGCTGCTAGAGCTGCTTCTGCACACGTGTGCTCATTCCAGTTCTGCGTGTCACATTGTGGACAAAAACCAGCCATGTTGGCACAGAAAGGGAAAATGATGGGCTGGGATGAGGAAGGGCAAAGCTTGTGGGTGTTTTAGTTCCTTCCTGAAGGATTGTTCTGTAAGCAAGTTTCAGACCTGGCAAGACAGCACAGCAAAGGGGCAGCATGCAGACATGTACAAGCATGAAGGCTGCTGAAAATTAGAATGCCTGGTTTCGTGGATGGTCTTTGTGGAAGATTAGCAACTGTCATTCAGTGTCATTCAGAAAGTGTATGTTAAGCCAGCAATTGTGTAGTACACCTATATTTGTCTGAATTTCCACCTCTGTTAATAGACACACTCACTTAGTAAGTAACCCCTGGCCAGCTATTTTTGTTTATTTGTGACTGAGGGCTTACAGAATCACAAACAGATGAGCTTGGAAGGACCTCTGTAGGTCATGTTGTCCAGCCACCCTGCTCATGCAGGGTCACCCATACTTGGTTGCCAGGACCATGGTCAGACAGCTGTACAATATACAAAAATAGCATTCAAAATTTAGAACTCGTTCTTTTTATTTTCTGGGAATTTTTAAATCTCTAAATATCTTTTCATTGGCATAGGTGATCACCCACTGATTGTTCAGTTTGCTGCTAAAGAAGCACAGGTTTTGTGTGATGCTGCCCGGATCATCTGTCCTTTTGCAGATGGAATAGACCTAAACTGTGGCTGTCCTCAGAGGTAAAGTTTTGAACAAGCTGGGTAAATATGGGGAAATAATTAAGAGACTAAAGAATGCTGGTCTTCCTTTTCATCATAATTTCTATCTTAACCTAAAAATAGATTTCAAGAGAGTAAGAACTTTTTAACCTGTCAGAAATGTCTATGTGGTAGGGTGCTGTTCTGAGTGCTCCCAGCTGCCTGTCACCATGGTGAGACTGGGAAAACTATATGTATTTGCCAACTTGCCTTTTTTAATTTCTGAGATACTGAGTGTTGGCTCAGAAATGTCCATCCCTTCTCAACAACTGTTAAATGTGCACTACCAAAAAGAGCTTGCTGCAAATAATTTGCAGAGTGTTTTGAATAATGATGTAGCAATTTCCAGAATAATGAGGCAAGTCCGTGATGCCTCAGACTTGCTGCAAGTGAAGGATAGCCTTTAAAATAAAATTACACAGATAAAGTAGTGAAAACAATTTCTTCCATCTTTTATTACATTTGTAAGTATAGTGAATTAGTGATGTACTTCTCACATAAATTGATAAAGATTTTGTCTTGACAGTGAAACAGAGTAGTAAGATTTTCCTAATTGGTTCAATTGAGAACCATCTATTACATGTGTGTCAGGCAGTCTTTTTCTAAATAAAGACCTGAAAAATGTAGGAAAGTCAAAGATAATATTACAGTGCAAATAAATGTAATTTCTCTATTCCAATTAGGATTTCTTGACCTAAAACTATAGTATTTGAGAAAGCCTTTCTGAGAGATCTGGGGCTTCTGCATGGAAATATTGGGGTTTTATTAAGCTAACTACAGTTAAGTATGTCAAACTGTGTATTTCTTTTAGGCCAAAAATATATGCTTACATTTGAATTGTTTGTTTCTTGTGCAAATTAGTTTCAAAATAACAAAAGTTGGTGTACTTTATGTGCCTTTATAGGAAAATTATTTTAAAAACTGCTGCTGTTAAGTGGCAGGTTATTTTTGCCAGTCAAATAGTGAGACCAGAATATCACTAAAATAATATCCTTACTTGCACTTTAAAAAATCCTCCTTTTCAATATGAAGTTGTCATCTATTTAAAAGAAATCCATGACAGGGGGAAGAGGAATCATCAAATTATTTCTTTTATGCATGCACTGTAGATTAAATTTTAATTTATTTTCCTTATGAGTCCATTCTGTGGACAGAAAATTGAACTTAAAGAGATTAGAACTTGTCCAAAGTTCTGGTAGCACAATGGAGACTGAACCAGGATCTGTACCAAACTGCAAACAAATAATTGATCTACAGCCAGTACTATCTCTGTTCACTTAACCACACATTCTGAAGGTCATAAGGAGAGAAAGTGATGGATGTAACTGGTTTTGATCTGCATTCCTTCAAAGGTAGACTATGAGTGTTCTTTTTCTTTTTAAAGATGGGCGATTTCAGAAGGTTACGGTGCTTGCTTAATAAATAAACCTGAGCTTGTTAAAGATATGGTGAGACATGTACGGAGTCAGATCGACAACCCTAAATTTTCAGTATCTATTAAAATAAGGTAGGTCTAACTTAAGTGCTGTTTGTGGTACATGGAAGAATCCTTTTTTTTTTACCCTTAAAGAATTTAGTGTAATAGTAATAATATTTATAATTCTGTTAATGCAATACACACATTATAGTAATTTCCTTAAATGTGAAGATTTTTTGCTGCTGAGATTTTTTGAGTCAAATGTCTGGGGCAAGTAATAGAAAACTTAGAACCAGCACAGCCTTTGACTACTTACCCAGATAACATACTGTGAGCTAGAGTTCTCTTGCAATCCAAACAACATGAAAGTACAAGGTAAAAGATGAGGGCTTCTATAAGAGAAAAGCAATGCACAGTCTGTATCATCACAAGGATTTGCTTTGTGAGCTGTTAGAGAGCAGAACCACAGTTATGGTTGGGTATGGGTAATAAAACTGAGAACTGGTCCCACAGCTGCTGTAAGGAATACATTCTGCTTCCCTACATCAGCTTCTAAACTTCTGTAGTCTTGTTTTTCATTGCTTTGTGTGCAGCCCAAAGAAGAGAAGGCTCCAGGGAGACCTTACAGCAGCCTTCCAGTACCTAAAGGGAGTCCACAAGAAAGATGGAGACAGACTTTGTACAAGGGCATGATGTGACAGGACAAAGGGGAATGGCTTCAAACTGAAAGAGGACAGGTTTAGATTAGATATTAGGAAGAAATTCTTTACTGTGGAGGTGGTAAAGCCCTGGAGTAGGTTTCCCAAAGAAGTTGTGGATGCCCATCCCTGGAAGTTTGTACGGTCGGGTTGGATGAGCTCTGAGCAACCTGGTCTAGTGGAAGATCCACTACTTCCCCATGGCAGGGGAATTGGAACTGGGTGGTCTTTAAGGTTGCTTCCACACTGAACCATTCTATGATTCTATGACCATTCTTGATCCATTATTTAACCATATATCCTATGTGCCTTTTGTTACTTGTCATTTAAGTTGCAACTCAGTTTCCAATCCTTCTGGAAAGGGGAACTATTATAAATTAGATGTTTTTTTTCCCCACAAAATATGCAAAATCATGGTGCTGATTTTAGATTTTTTGGGTACCCTTGCTCAGTCTCTATAAAATTTACCATGTATATTACAGAGATGTGATATAATTGGGAAATGCTAAATTAAATACCAGTTTCCATACACTAAACTCATATATCTTAAAAACACCCCAAAAATCAAACACTGTTTCCCAACTGTAATATTGTCTTTTTACTGTTATTTATGGAAATCTGTGGTAATTCCTCCTTATGGGGGAGTGCTTTTTATATAGGCCAGGAAATTTACTACCTACTGCTTTCATTCCTTGCAATTTTAGGATCCATGAGGACTTAAAAAGAACAGTTGACCTGTGTCAAAAAGCTGAAGCAGCTGGAGTTTCATGGATTACAGTACATGGGAGAAGTATAGAAGAAAGGCATCAACCTGTACATTACGATGCAATTAAAATAATTAAACAAAGCATGTCTATACCTATTGTGGCTAATGGAGACATTAAATCTTTAAAAGATGCTGAAAATGTTCATCACCTGACAGAAGCAGATGGTAAGATTAAACATACTCTATTCTCTAAGTAAACTTACCAGGTTTGAAGGTATTTATTTTGCATGTAAGTAGGACATGATTTGAGTGCTTTCTCTCCTCGAGGAGACAAATGAAAGAGGATATTTTAGATGCCTTAAAAAACTCATAAGCAGAATCACTGGTGATCATCAGAACACTAGAGCACTGCTATTCAAAGCCACAAATAATCATTTCCGAGGCAAATTACAAAAGCTCCGTGATTAATTATGCTATCTCATCACTCAGTAGTGGAGTTCAGGGGGACCTTCAGACATTCTGTCTTTTTATGGAGCTGATCATTTTAAAGAACTGTAAACTTCCACTTGGAAATCTCTACTTCCTGCACATGGGAGCAGATTTCCTACAGTAAGAACACCATGGAAAAGGGAGTATATTGTTAAGCCAGATGGTTAACTTCAAGGACACAGTGAGACATTGCACTTTCATTTCAGTCATAGAATTTGGGAATTTTTGCAGTTATTAAGTCACAATAGATTCCTACAACTGTCTGTGGTTTCAAGACATGAAAATTTGATATATGTTCTGAAAAGGTAATCTGTATCTACAAACTTTGTGTCTTCCAGCTGCAGAAAAACAGGAAAGAGATCAGTGCAAGTGGCAGGTTGCTGCTGACACTGTTGCTGTTTAATAGCTACAACAGAAATTGAACCAAGCTGCCCTGCTGCTTACAGTGACTTTCCCTCCAAATACAGAGCAGGAAGCAAATATATAATACAAAAAAATGTTCTCATAGACCAGCTGACCTTCAGTAGCAAAAATATTAAACATTCCCCAAATACAGAGCAGGAAGCAAATGCATAATACAAAAAAAATGTTCTCATAGACCAGCTGACCTTCAGTAGCAAAAATATTAAACATTCAGTTTTTTCTGTCATGGACAATGACAAAAGAAATTCTTCATTTTTGATCATCCTATTTTTTAAGAAAGGCTTGAGTGTGATAGATTGCATCTTGATAGTGCAGAAAACCAGAATCCCTTAATCACAGAAAAATTACAATAGAATGGGTTTATCTGACAGTATTGGAATAGAGTTGCAAATACACTACACACTTGTTCAGAAAGATTTATGCAGATCAAGAGTCTAAAATGTATTTAATTGAGCCATTGAGCTCTTAATGGAGGAAGGACAGTGAATAGACTGAGTTGCACAGAAAATTATTGGTCCTCTTGTCTCTTTCCATCGTAATTTTGTGTTACAAAGGCAATAAATGTGTGTAACGAGTAAGAACAAAGAACAAATTAGCTGCAGCTTCAAAAGAAGGGAAGAAATGCTTCTGTGACCTGTGTTTTGTTTCAGAATTTCTGGAATGTGTTGGTAGGTGTTGTAGATATTCTGAGGTTTGCCTTGTTCAATGGATTTCTCTGATACAGCTGTAATACTCATCCCCGTTGTTGTCCCACTACTATCTGTAAGCTTTGGGTGGGTGTCCTAAGGGGTGTTGTACAAAATCTACAGGAAGATTTAGCATAAAATTGAAACTAGAATGTAACTTACTGCTTTAATTTCCAATTTGAAGGTGTCATGGTGGCTAGAGGACTCTTGGCAAATCCAGCTATGTTTGCAGGATATGAGGAGACACCTTTTCAGTGCATCCAGGACTGGGTTGACATTGCTCTTGAGCATGGAACTCCTTTCACGTGTTTTCACCACCACTTAATGTACATGATGGAGCGCATCACTTCAAAACAAGAAAAAAAAGTTTTTAATGTTTTATCAAGCACCTCAGCAGTACTAGATTATCTGAATGACCATTATGGTTTGGGGTAAATGGAAGTATGTTAGTCCTGTGTAAACTTGTATTTTGCAATTGTCGATAAACTGTAAAAGTTTTCATTGAGTTTTTACTTTTTAGTCATATTTGTATATTGTGTAAGTATTTTCAACACAGCAAAACATTATTATTTGGATGATATGATATGATATATATGATTTTTATGTCTCCATTTTTCGCTCTAGAGAATATTCAAGATTCTACAAATGTGTCATTCTATTTCCAATGCACTACTACAGGGAGGATTGATTATTGTATGGCCCTGGTAATTTAATTTTTCACCAGATAATTGCTCACAGCAATATGATTACAAAACTAGGGCCTTTCTTATATTAAACCTCCTAAAATCAGGACTAATTATAGATAATGACAGTAATTTCAAACCAAAAGAATACAAAGGGAGCAACTGTAGAAGTTTTTGCTTTAGATAACATAAGCTTAAAGCCCATCATACAATCCTTTTTTAAATTTGATGTTTCTTTTGCAGCCTAAAACTTTGTAACTTATAACTTAGAAGAAATTCCATGCTTCTTATAGCGAAAGAAACACAGAATAGATAAACAATTATGGGAAGAAGGAAGAAGGAAAATGAAGAGGGAAAGAATTAGGAAGGAAGAGATAGTTTAAGTACAAACTTAGCTGAATCTAAAGAACAAGATTTTTAAGTTTAATCTAACTAAATTCAGTTTTGTTTATCTACTGTAGAACAATTGTATACAAGATTAAATCCCTATCATCTACCAAGCCAGAACTTTTTAGGTCAAAGAAAAGCTGACAGATTCTCTCAGTGGGGCTCTTGCAGTCCTTTCTGCCTGCTGGCATGTTGCTTATCTAAGCATGACAGCCACTTGGCTTTGAATCATTATATAGGGGTGAAATAGTGAAAATTAGAACAAGATAATATTACACACCAGCTGCATTTTTTCTGCAAGGAAAATTTCACAAAACTGTACAGTACAATTATTTGTAATCAAATATTTTTTTCTTTATATGTTTACACAGAAATTCATACCAAAAATTGCCGAGTTTTCTGACTGTGATTGTTCTATGAATATACATGTGAATAGTTCAAGGTTTTCTAAATAAATTACTTGGTTTTGTATGTAGTTGTAATTTTTTTTATTAGACAGCAATCTGGAGGAGGGTTGCTTGCTTTTGATGCTACTCTCCAAATCTTTTCATAGTTCAGGTATCTTAAATTATCACCATTTTTTAATGCAATAGCATAAAATACTTGATTATTTTTCATAATGAATATGTCTGATTTAGGCATGTAAACAAAAGTTTGAAAGGCATGACCCAAGTCATCAAGTCCAGTTCACTATTTAAGGCAGCAAAGTTACGTAACTCTTCTGATATGATCACCTTCCGATGTGCTAACAAATGGAAAACTACAGACATGCTTTGCTCTCCTAGGCTAATTGAGACAACCTCTGCAACCATTTTTGGTGTGTCTCCATTCCTTCAGACAACTATTTTTTCACACTTCTGGATTATAATGTTTTCTTGACATTAGTTGGGCACAGTTCTATATAGCATTCCAGGTAAATTCCCAACAGTGTCCTCTACAGTTAATTCTTACTTCTAATACTTCACTTTTCCTCAACTAATATTTTTCAAGTAAATTATGAGCTCCCAGATTTAGAGCAAAAGTTCTTACTTCCCACTGCATGACTAGGTATTTTGTACTACCAAATTTCCAGTATCAAGTTCATCCAGTTATGTTGCAACACTCTTCTCCTCAGTTCTGAAATGCCTCCAGCTTCCTCTGAAGTAAAACTATGCAACTGAATTGTTAAAGAAAAGGATTTGTGAAAGTATTAAGTAAGTCCTTTGTTGCCGTTTGTTTTAGAGTTTTATGATTTAGCTAGCAACTACTATATGTAGCAAACTGTCCCATTAGCCTCAAGGAGCAGAGAAGAATAATTTATTATATATAATCATCACAAAGGCTTTATTTTTTCGGTAGTAGTGGTAAAATTGAATTTTAGGGGACTGGAAATACCTTGACCTATTTAGGAACTGAGTACTTGACGATTTTGAAGGCAGCAGTTGTTGTGCCTGTGTGAGATTAATCACAGAGATTTCTGCCTGAAGTACAAGACCTAGGTTGCTGTTAATATTGGTAGTAATTATGGAGTGCTTGATCTGGCCGTTTATGTATCGTAAAAGTCAGTGGAAATTCATTATCCCTTTTCAAGGGTGAAATGAATTGTTCACTTTCCATTCTGAATTTTGTATGCATCTGAACATGCTTCAGTGTGTTTCCATAGAACAACTGCAGAGTTGGAGTCTTTAAGACATACATTGAACACCACACTGTTCCAATATACATAAATTGCTAAGGATGAGAGTTATTCAGCTACCAGTGTTGTTTTTAGACAAAATCTTGCTACAGAAACCCCAGCACTCTCACACAGGCTATACAATTCCATTTTCTCTATTGCCTATTGTTAAATTTTTTCTCTTGGGTTGATGGTTGGGCAAAGGCAGTGTGTGATGATAAGGCTGTCACAGAAGCCAAAGTAGAACAGAACAAGTTTAAACTTTCCTTTTGTTTCAAAAGAGAATTATTTGATTTCACTCCTCTAACCTGCTGTTAATATACAGGCATTCCTATTTCTGCTTCTGAATACTTTGTCACCTCCCTGATGGAAGAGGAAGGTATTCCTTTTATGTGTAATGCTTGAAGGTTTGTGAATTTTTTTCACTAAAGCAGGCAGCCACTATATTTATTTATATATATGTGTGTGTGTGTGTGTGTGTGTATAGTGTGGCATCATAATCATCATATTCAGTATATGAGAGACAGCTTTAGATGAACAACCCAGACTTCTGCAGCTTCAGTTAGAATTCCTTCCAGGAGCAGCAGAGTGCACTCAACAGGAGAAGAGAGGTCTCAGATGTTTTCAGGAACATCTCTTTTCTTCAGCTCTCATTTTGGGTTGGTGGGGAACATGCATCAGCTGCAGGGAAGTGCACAGTGATCACACTCATAGTGAGACTTTCTGAGATTTTACAGAGCCCCTAAAGTGAAAAAGTGGCTCCAAGGCTGTGACATCAAGGACAGGTGAATACAGTCCTATCAGTATGAGGCTTTGCTACTGGGAGAGTAGCTTACAGTGGTAGAAAGAAATGAGTAAGCAGCTCAGAAATGGAAACTGCTCTGTAATTAAAGGAAAGTCTTTATTCAGGTTTTAACAACTCCAGTGAAGTATACTGGCTGTAGGCCAATAGCTAAAATGTAATAACCAGAACATTCTAACAGGTTGTGTTTTGTCTATAGTGCTGATTAAATATGTTTATGAAAATGTGTTGGAAATACTACTTAAAACTGGGGCTATTCATGCTGTGTAGATTGGATTGAAATTACTCCTTATAGCTCTCTCCAGTATTTGTTGTGCATAAACAATTATTTGGGATGTAACCTTTCATCCAGACATTGCTTGGCAACAACTAGAAAAATGTTGACACACTGGCTCCATCCCCAGGCTGCAGACCTGGGAAATTTTAAGTAAACAATTTCAGATTGTGAGCAGCTGCAAACAGTTTTGCTCAAAACTGCTTATGCAAGAACTTCCCACCCCATGTCAGTTCCAATGGATTAGAGTAACAAAGAACTACTGTTCACGGCATTTTATCTGTCTCATGTTGATGGAACTTAATTGGGAAAGAATTCCCCAAAGCAAGTAGTTGTGTCAAAGAGTGCTGGTGATGCCCAGGTAGACAAGGTACCCTCTCCCACTTGGCAGCACCTCAGCATCTGCTAGGATCAAAAGGAAAAAGTGATCAGAGCATGTCCTTCTTATGCAGGAGCAAAGAAGGAGAGTTGCATGGAAATAATGTGATTGGAGCTTTGGTATACAGATAAAAAGCATTGAGCAGGACCGTAGGATAAAACAGGAATACTGTTTTATTCATGAGGCCTAAACAGGCCTGTTTGACCGTGTTTGAGACTGTTGTTGAGTTGTTATTTGTGCTGTCTGTATGAATGCTGGACCTGTATTTCTTGAGGAAACGATTTACTGTATCTTAATACATCCATGTCGTGTAACACATGGAGGAGGGAATGGATGGGCACACGCACTATTTTAACTGAACTTTAGAAACTCATGATAATATTGGAGAGCAGAGTTGAACTCCCCAGTCGATTAAGCTGGAGTCACGGAGCGGTGGGATGATCACAGCAGGAGGTGCGGCGCCTTGGTAGCTCCGCACCCGCCGTCGTTCTCGGCCCCCCGCTCCGCAGGCGGCACCGCATGTGTGGCCGGGCCGGGCCGGGCCGAGCGCGGCCTCTGCGGTGGGGGAGGCCCGGGCTGGACTCCGCATCCTTCCCCCGCCCGAGCCGGCGGCAGCTCCGCGCCGCCCCCGCCGTGTCACTCAGCCCCGTCCCGGCCCACATCCCCCGGGCAGGGCGGAGGCGGCACTGTGTCCGTACAGACACCCCGGTTCCCCGCCCGCCCCGCCCTGTGCCGGCAGAGCGACCGGCCCGCGCTTCCGCAGCCCCGGCCGGTGAGGCCCCGCTCCCGCCCTTTGGCCGCCATCAGCTCCGCCGGGTGCCGGCGCTGACGAGGTTCGAAGGCAGGCCGGCCGGCCGGGAGGGAGGGAGCGGGAATGAGGCGGCCCCGGGGCTCCGCGGCCGCGCAGGGGGCGCCGGCAGCGCTGGGGGGCGGGAGGCGGCGGGAGGAAGCCGCGGGCCCGCGGCCGCCTCCCGGGGGCTCTGCTGGAGGCTCTGCCCGCCAGGCCCGCGCGGCCCCGGGCTGTCCCGGTCTCCATCTCGCTGTCCCCGGTGTCGTTCGGGAGGGGAAGTCAGAGCCGCCCGCCTGAGCCGCCCGTTCCTCCGCAGGCCGCCGGGACGATGACTTTCCAGTGGACGGCAGTGGCTGCCTTCCTGTACGGCGAAATCGGAGTAATTCTCGTGCTCTGCCTGCCGTTCATTTCTCCCCTAAGGTAGGAGGACTTAGGTGTGCTGAGCAACGCAGCTTACTCTTCTCACCAGTTTGGGTTTATTTTACGCCTCTGTTTTCATAAACACGGAGCTTTGCTGCATCCTAAACTAGTAAAAAAAGCTGAAGGAATGCTGTTTGGGACTTGAGTATCAGGAGCTGCAAGAACGGCAAGCCTCTTTAAGGAGCTTTTCGTTTTCTACGCAGTGCTGATTCATCCGAGAGCAGCGGTCGGGGAGTGCAGAGGAGCGCCCTGCTTTGCTGCAGCAGGTGGGACGGCTTCTCCAGAGCTGTGGAGCAGGCAGCGCAGAGAAAGGCATCTGGCAGTAATTAATGAGGGGAGAGTGCTGTTTTTGCAGCAGTTTGTCAGATCTGTGAGGTGCAACTTTTATGTTTTGGCGTACACTAGGCATTGTGGGTGTTGCACAGATAAGATGTCAGATACTGTAACGGCTGCAAGAAATTTGTGGTCGCTTGTTTAAAAAAACTGGAGTTGAGTTTGAAGCAGAAGGTTCAGGACTACTGGAATAAAGGCCTCTGTAAAACTCCATAGAAACTCATACATAGATTAAGAAAATAGTACTACTTCTGGAACACAACACAAATATTAAGAAAATAATAAATTCTTGTAAAATAAATGCACACAGTAAGGGAAAGAAACAACATTAATTTATTACCTTTACTGTTTGCAGAGGCCTGACTTACAGCATTATCTTGTTTCCTGTAAGTCGCTCTTCAAATTTGGTAATATTATTTCCTTACAGGAAATGAAGCTAGATTCTCTGCAGAAGGCAGAGAAGCACACTTATGATTTTTTTTCAGAATATCAGAAAGACTTAAAAGAAGAACCAAACCCACAAAAGAAGAAGTCTTAAAAGAAGAACCCACAACCCCCACAAAGCAACAATCAGAATGAAACTTTAAAGCTGTCTCACCAGTGCTCTGTAAAAACTGTCGTGTGTTTGTTTCCTGCATCTTTAGATACATTTAGAATGGTGTAGCTTTTACTGTCCTCTTAAGGAGCAAGAGTTGTTGTGGAAAGTCTGGATTTAACTACTTAAACCTGTGGAGGAGTCTTGAAAATGACTGGCTCCTCCACAGCTGGTACCAATGATTAGGCATGTTTCCTCAGCTTGAGAAATTGAAACTGTTCTGAAATCTAATTCAGCTTCTGGGTTTTTACAAGTTGGCTTGCAAGGAGTTCAGCATTTCAACATAGACTCTTGAGTTGTTGTATTTCTTATTGTTTTCTAAGCAAAAGTGCAACTATGTGAGAGGAGAGGGGTATTATGGGAGTCATAATCATCAGATTATTAATGGATTATGTGAGGAAACTAGTTGCAAGAATTTCTGCAAACTGATGTCACAAGCAGGATACTTTGGGAGTATTGAAATATGTTTCACTTATGATGCAGAGTCCAGTGTTTGTGGCTGAAAAGCAAATTCGTAATGTGCAGCTTTACCAAAATTTATTCAAACATTAAACACAGTGCTTTTAATTATATGGAAAGGATATATTTGTGTGCTTTGTTTGCAGCGTTCAGCAATTCCTCTGAACAGTGGTTTCTGAAAGAGTGAAATCACTTTATCCCTTATGTGGTATGTGCAGTTAACTTCTTAACAAAACCTGCAGGAATCTTGTGGGGTTAAAAATCAGATTTAGCTGTTGTGACAGTACCAGGGGGCAGCAGCTCTGCCTGACACATCTTTGTGTGCTGGGAGCTGGTTCTGTCAGCAGTAAGGCATGCATGGTTACCGACAGGTGGGAAACTGCTGTTCTTGGAAGTTTTCATTTACTCACTTGTCAGTCTTCAAATGGATTCCTTATCTCTCCTGTGTGTGCACATTTTTTTAAATGTTTTTTTTCAAGTTTGCTAACAAGTTTATAAGTTACTGGGGAATGAGTAAATTGACAGTATAAAAATGCAAATACACAGAGACAGATCAGATCTGTTTTACAAGGTGTAGTTCATCTAAAATGCTGGGTAGTATTATAGTATGGAAGTTTTATATTTATATGACTTTTGTCACCAAAAGGAAGAGGAGTGTTAGTAAATGTGAATGTCAGTTCTTGTTGAGGAAAAATAAATGTCAAAATAAAACACAGGTAGATTTTCCAGTAAAGAGATCCATGTTTTTAGCCTGATTATAAATTGGCAGTGTAGTTTATCTAAGGTCATACCTCAAAGAATCACTTCTTAAATGAAGGTCAGTATGGATCTTGGAAAATTACATATTTTAAGAGTTAGTGAATTGGCTTTGTTTGAGTTGTAGCTTGAAGTAAGCTTTTCATTTGATACAGACTGTGGCTGTCTGCTATAAAGAATTCAGATTATACTAGAAGACTTAAATGAGGTTTTTGCATGCACAATGCAAAAACATTTTAATTCTTTCTGGTGGAGAGCTGGAAAGAGCTATAGGACATGATTCTACACTTTCATTTAAATTAATGGTAGGTTGGAAACCACTGAAAGAGGGAAAATTTTAACAGTCTCTGGTAAGTGTAAATAGTCTTAACAAAAGTAGGAAATTTTACCTCATATAATCAGATGGTGAATGGTATGTCTGTGTTACATCCCTGTGGCATGACTAGGTATTATTTCATTTGTGCAGTAGCACTGGTTCTAACCTAGCACAGGATAAGTAGGTGCTCTATTATCACTTGTTTCACTTCATTTGAGCACATCAGATGCTTTTTGTTAGTGCTGCAAGTGTGACTTCTGCTGCAGCCCTTCATGCAGCAATATCAAATAAACAACTAACTCTTCAAAAAGAGAACAAGTCTACACCACCACTGGCCTCACCAGAAGTCACTTCTGTAGCCAGCAAATTTATGCTTGGGAAAGAGGTTTGAACTCCTAACAAAATATTGTTACAGAACACAAGACTTGTCTTTTTTGTTGTCATTACAAGTTAGAATGTAATAACAGTCCTTGTGCTTCAGAGTTAATAGAAATAATGGAATGGGTTTTACAGTCTTTACCCTATCCCTTGTTATACAGAATGTAATAACAGTCCTTGTGCTTTGGAGTTAATAGAAAAAATAGAAATAATGGAATGGGTTTTACAGTCTTTACCCTATCCCTTGTTATAGTCAGGACTGAGTACAACATAATGCTAGCCAAAATATAAGCTAAAATAAAACACATCTGCAGAGTACCTGCTATCATGCAAAAAATTTGCAAGTATTAACAACAAAAAAAGAGAAGCTAGATTACTGGAAAAGTTAACATACCTAAATTATATTGCAATTAAAGCAACTGTTTAGAGACCTTATACAAGTCTCTTATCAATAACAAGACTCTCTTCTGTGGGGTTGTAATGCTCTTCTTTTAGTGCTTAATTATTTTTGAATAACACAATTCTATTTTACAGATGGCAGAAGATTTTTATGTTTCCTCTGTGGAGCAAAATGGCAGTATTTTGGAACAAGATGTTCCTTACAATAATAGTTTTGTTGATCGTCTTGTTTCTTGGTAAGTGTTAGATAATTTCTTAACAAATGGGTAAAAGAAACCTGGTACATTGAGTTCATATCAGTAAACTAATGGAAAGGATTCAAGCCTAGTGTAAGTCAGCTAATTTATTGAAAAATTATACAATGAAATGAAAGAGGAGAGGGCTAATGCTGCATCCACATTGAGAATCCAAATGCAATTGTATTATATTGAGTGAATGAGAAGGAAAACTGGAGCTTAGGGAAACCAAGTAGCAGCCTAGACTTTCTCACACAGGTAAATGAACTTGTTTGACACCAGAATTTGGCTGAGCTGTGCCTCATGCAGCAGATGGCACTCTTTCTTTTGGATGCTGTTGAAATAGAAGACCAGAATATATCAAGGTACTGGGCTGTTTGAATACTTTTGCTCAGCACAGATACAAAACAGCTGCTGGCTTCATTTGTTGTGGGTAGGTCCTAAGGTCTGTGAAGTAAGAGTAAAGCTTTAATGGTTACCATATGCCTGACTGATTTTTGTTGAAATAGAAGACCAGAATGTATCAAAGCACTGGGCTGTTTGAATACTTTTGCTCAGCACAAATACAAAACAGCTGCTGTAAGTAGGTTCTAAGGTCTGTGAAGTAAGAGTAAAGCTTTAATGATTACCATATGCCTGACTGATTTAATTTAATGTCTGTCCTGACTGTTTGTAGTAGGCATCTTCTGTATTTCAGTGATGAAAGCAGTTCTTCTGTGTTTCAGGGATATTAAGTAGTTCTCCGTGGATAAGTGTTTCCAGTGCCTTAGAATATACATGTTACTTAATTCCAGGCTACTTGAAATAGAAATAAAAAATGCATGGTTTTATTTTCTGCTGAGCGAAACATACAGATGCACTTACATATATAACTATGTCAGACTAGGCTATAGGACTATATTCTTAATATTTAAAGTACCAGAAATGCAAATAGACTGTTTTATTATTTTTTTAAGATTATGTTTAGTATTATTCTTAAAAGTAGGTCTTCAGTGAATGGCTAAAGATTGAGAACTAATGTATTTCATTTACTGTGTTAAACTGCTGTTGAAAACTTAGACTAAAGTTTGCTTTTGACTTGGTGATGGTCATTGATTTTGTGGAAAGATAGAACAGGGCTAAAGGGTAGCAGTGATGAGATAACCTGCCCCATAGCATGAAGTGACAGGTTACTGCAGGCCTAGACTTTTCCTGTAGCACAGGGACATGCATTTGTTTGCTCCTAGTCTTCGATGCATTGTTTGAAGCTTCACTTCAGGGGTTTTTTTAAACATCCAAATAACTCAGACATATGAGAGAGACAGTCATGAGTGATGATAGTCACTCGTGCTTTTCTTTGAGTTGATTTTGCCTGCTTAGACAAATGCAGCAGCAATTTAATAACGTCTGGCCAAAATATTCTGCAAGAACATGTCATGAAATGTGTGTATTTATTGATGTGCAGGAGATTTAAGGTGCTGTATTGGTTGTAGGAATGTCTGATGACCTTACATTTAAAGATAGTAATATGAACTCTTAACTGGGTTAGGTTTGGAGGTTATGTGGATGTAAGTCCTGATTAATTATTTTGTCCTTTGAAAGGTGTTTGCAGTGCACTAGCCCTTTTGCAGAACTATCAGAAGTATGTGATGGGTGAAAGGAAGCTGAAAGATATATGAAAGGCAGATGAAAGAAAGCTGAGTTGTAGCTTTCCTTCTCCATTCTTTCTATGATCTTTTTACAGTTAGTAGTTACTACTGATGTTACTACTGCTGTATTGCTACAGTCTTCCTATTTTAATGGATGTTAAAGCAATAATTTTTTCCCTCTATGATTGAAGTATAAATGACCCTTCTGTCATTACTAAAACACATGCATATCTTTAAAAAACTCTATGTAAAGCAAATACTTGAGAAAATACTGCTTCTTTTCACTTTTCTTTCTCTTTTCTCACTGTCCACTGGGGAATTTTAGCTCTGTTGTCAGCAGTGACATTTTGACACCATAGGGTCTTTGGTAACATCCGTAGAGTGAGTTGCTTTGGCCTGATCCCTCATTGCTGGGTACAAGTGTTTGAAATACCTGTTCAGGCATATTTTGAGCAGTGGTTTGTTGTATTTCTGGGAATGTGCTAGAGCACTTAATGATTTATCAAGACTGATCTTTAAAATGTATGGATAACATAACTGATGTCACTATTTGTCCTGTTACTGTTTGCTGAGCAGAAAATTGAAGTACATATTTCTAGTACTAAAGTCTGGTTTAGCATGCATACACACCCACAGATGTGAATAAGAACAGACTGTTTTTGTTTGCAGATGCTGTTAGAGAAGTCAGGAAGTACTCATCTGTTCATGTGAATGAAAAGGCTGCAAATGTCAACAGCAGTGCCTTTGATCATATTCAGATGAAGCTCTTTCGGTCGCAAAGAAACCTGTATCTCTCAGGTTTTTCCTTATTTCTTTGGCTGTAAGTATAACATTGTTCAAATGCTTACATAGTGTGTTTATTACAGGAACTATTGCACAAAGTAATTGTAAAGTAAAGGTCAGAAGGACAATTTCAGGAGATTAAAGAATTAATTGTGACCAGGTTGGCTACAATGCAACTAAGATCAGGGAAAATAATACCTTACAACTCTTTGAAGATTGGAAGGATATGCGAGCAAAACATGGAAAGAAACATTTTTAGTGCTGGAGAAAACATGTATTTTGCAGAAGTTTCTTTGGGGAATACTCACTCATTTCCTTCCTTAAACTTACACCCTTTGTTTTCCACATGGAACTGGAATAAAAAACCACTCAAAAACTAACGTAGTGTTAAATAATATTATTATCTGGCAAGCTGGTGTCATTGCACCCTGCTGTGTTAAGAAGCAAAGCTTGAACCTAACCTGAGCCACTTCAGCTCAAGGTTGAAGTTAAGAACTGTAGGATAATATTCCAGCTTTCAAGGAAAGTTTCCACTGTATTTCAGATCAAATGCTTTGTGGCAATTTGCCTATTATGGTGTTATGATCTTAAGTCTGGTATCTCTTTCAGGATGTCTAAGTTCAGCTACTAAACCAGGGTAAACAAAAGAGCAGTTCTGTACTGCCCACCTGTAGCAACCAAGACTACCTGTGAATCAGTAGGCACAACAACCTGCAGATCTTATCAGTTGGGCTGGGAGCACATTAAGTCACTGGACATGGATAATGTGAACAAACAGAAACGGACATCTTGGTCTGATGATTTCCATTTGTACATTTTTCTGGTGGCTGGACAATGAGTGTTGGTCCTCTTAGGAGTTCCTTCAGTGAGCTGCTTGACATTGCCTCAATACTCAAGAGGAACACAGAACAAGAAAATCACAGACTTATTACAAACTTTCTTCCCCTTTGAGGGATATGTGGTCATTTTAGCAGACCATTGAGCAAAAAAAGTATCAAGGAAAAATGAATAAAAAGCTTGAGAAGAAAAGTTTTGGAAAAAACAATGTGTCTGTAGCCTTGCTCAATAGTGATAGGAATACATCAAGTTCTTTGTTTTCCTACAGAAAGGTTGAGTAAATATGTACAAATATGTTTTTAATCTCTGCTCCAAGAGGAATAGCTAGATTGTGTCCTACAAAAGAATTGGAAGCTGATCTCTCAGGATTCTACTTATATTCAGCTTCCAAAGAAGAAAACTTGTCAAGTGACCCCAGTAGATTATTTTGTATAAAAGCTCTGCTCTTGAAGAGGTTTACTTGAGGTTTTTTTGAACTGCTGGCCTTTCACCAAGGTTTAGGAGAAATAAGCCCTCCTCAAGTAGTCACTAGATCAAAGGACTTTTCTTAGTAGAGGTGTTGTGCTTATCCATGAAGCAGACATAATGTCTGTCAGAGAAGCAAGAACCCTTGGGTTTGCCTTACCCTGTACTGCTAGACCATCACCCAAACAACATGAGACCCCATCTAGTGTGGATGGATAATTGGGTGCCCCTAGTTCATTTTGATTCATTTTAGCACATCAGCCAATAGGAGAATTCCACAAGAATGGTACATGGAGATGAATACAATGGAGGAGGCTGGGAGCTTGTCACTTCTGGCAAGACAACAGCAATTGTGGGGTTCAGTGATTGTAGAGCATTGGGTACAGATGAGGAAAATTACCTGTCAGAGGGGGTATTGGAGCCAACTGAGCCTCTCATCAGCAAACTGTGCAGAACAGGAGGATCATAGACCTTGGAGACTGTCCCTGGGTGGGACAAAGACACCCATCTAGTAGTCTGACCTGGTCCTCTCTTAGCCCATGAGGGGGATAAAAAGGGCTGAAAACTAAAGAAAATCTCAAGAAAACATGAGTCCACTGGTGCCTTCTAGGAGTGTCAGCAGGGTATGTCACATCATCCCAGTAGTGGAAGATGCAGCTAGGGAGTACACAGGCCAATTGGGCATATAAAAATCTGTGATATCCTAGGATGGCAGAGGGAGTTGGCCAATGTCATTGCAAGGTTTCGTTTGAAAGATCACAATTCTGGGGAGAATCCTGGCGACTGCAGAAAGGCAACTATTGCACCTGTCTTCAAGGACAGAAAAGAGGATGTAAGAAACTAGAGACTGGCCTCCCTGGAAAGGTTATGAAGCAAATCGTACTCAAAGACATCTTCAGGGACATGAAGGACATGATGACTTGGAACAGTCATCACAGATTTACTTAGGAAAGATGATGCCTGAACATTCTTGTTGCTTTCTGCAGTGAGATGAATGGCTGTGTGGATAAAGAGCAGAATATCCTTTTTGCAAGGCCTTTGACATAGTGTCTTTTAGTATCCTGGTAGCCCAACTGTGGAGGGACACAGGCTGGAGAAATGGATAAAAAAGCAGGTAGGAAGTTCCTTGGAGCTTTGGGCTCAGAGGATAATAACAATGTGAATTTCAGCTGGTGCTTCTTAGGGGTGGGTACTGGGCTCAGTATTGTTTAATGCTTTATTAACAGCATGGATGATAGGATTGAGTGTGCTCTCAGCAAGCTGCTCATGGTTCCAATTCAGAGTGGTTGACACCTTGGAGAGCAGTGCTGCTTTTCAGAGGGAGCCAGAAAGGTTGAAGAAATGTGCTGACAGAAATCTCATAAAGCTCAACAAGGACAAATGCAAAGTCTGACATTTTACTGGATAATCATATACAGCATCCGGGTTGGGGGCTGGCTGCGTGGGTGGGTAGGAGGCAGTTTTGCAGGAAAAAAACTGGGGATCCTGGTAGAGAGCCAGTCATGTACTGGGCTGTGATAGCAAGTATGTTGTAGTTAGCAGGTCAAGGAAAGCGGTTATTCTGCTCTGTGTGGCACATGGGGTGCTGCAGCTGCAGGACTGTGTCCAGTTTTAACTCCCCAAAACACTGGAGCCCTGCAGTGAGATACAGAGGAAGTTGGAGGCTGACATATGTGACCTATGAGGAGATGATGAAGGAGCTTTGTTTTCAGCCAAAAGAGACTTTGAAGGGAAAATCCTATTGGTTTCTATGTCTGTCTAGTTGTAAAAAAGATGGATGCAGTTCATCTCAGTGGATGCAAAAAGCAGTGACAAGAGGTAACAGGAACCTGAGATGTTCTGACTTGTGGTAGGAAAGTGCTGCTGCTGTTAAGAGCCGTTAAGCACTGGAACAAGGACCCTGAAGGATGGTGGAATCTCCCATCACAGAAGATGGTGGGAGCTCAACTGGACAAGCCTCTGAGGAATCTGCTTAACCTATCATGCTTTTCATAAGATGGAAGCTTCTTTCAGCCTACATGATTGTGTGATTTCTCTTTTTGTTATGTTTTAATGACTCCTGCATTTGTAAGTTAATAAGCAATAGTAAATTTGCTAACCTGTGGAAAAGTAGTGACGTGGGGACCTTAGCTTTTTACTAACCCCCCCAAAAAGTAAGAAAAGAAGCTTTCAATGAAAAAGCAAGAGGTGGAGGGAGAAAAAGATCTGTTAATACTCTTTCAGTTATGCAAAAGCCAATTACCTCGATTTTCAAATTTCTTTGAGGAGCAGCTGCATAGTTACATTAGAGGCATTAATTTAATTCTGTGTTGTGTTGTCTTGATTCAGCAACATTTGAAAGACTTCAGGATGAATAATGAAAGTAGTGATGGGAAGAATCAAGTGAGGTATTTGCAAAGCTTAGAATTGAGGTGACATATCACTGCTGACATCCATAAATGTTCTGATTTAACTGTATTGACAGTACTTGGAAGATTATTATGCTCATACTGCTAATTTTATTCTTGCAAGGCTGTTTATGAAGTTGTGTGATTTTTTTTTTTTCTTCTCTATACTCATTACCATAACTTGTTGTTTGGGTCTTGTGTTTGGAGATCAATCCTGTTAAAAATACCGGGTCATGTAACAGTATTTAAACAGCCTTTAAGCAATCAGGTCTCTGACCCTTTAATGGCTGTGGGTATTTAGGAGGAGGGAGGTTCTGTATCAAGTAAAAATCAGAATGTCAATGGGTGAAAATATTTTCTGTCTCTCTTGTTGCTGGTATTTGTCATCATGAGCCTGGATGTTTCCCTCTTCTGGTTTTATTTTTACATCTACTACTGAGAGAGAAAAGGGCTTGTTTTGGTTTGTTGGGTTTTTTTGTTTGGTTTGATTTTTGTGGTTTTGGTTTTCGCTTGTGATTTGGGTATTTTTATTATTTGTGCTGTAAATTACAGTTCTGTTCACTGTTTTTCTTCACCAGTGTGTTGAGACGTACTGTTACCCTTCTCACTCAGTTGGCAAAAGAGATGGCATCTCATGCAGCTCTGGAAACACAAGTAAATGATGCTACTGAAGCAGCCAAAAAATACATGGCCGAGAACGAAAGGCTGCAGGAGGTATCTTTGAGCTTCTTCAGTGACTTTCTTATACAGCAAGGAGTTAGTAAAATGTACTCTGAGGATGGTCTGCTACAGGAATGCTCGTTCATTTTATTCCTTCTGGTTGAAAAAAGAAGAAAAATATTTTTACAATATGTAATTTAGAATACTGAAAACAAATTGTAGTAGCATCTTATTGAAACTGAAGTAAACCAAATATATAAAGTTCTGCCTTTCCAGTACAAATTTCATCAAAGTAGTAATAGATTATAGTAATATCTTTCTGAATTTAGTCATAACAAAGTAGAAGAAGACACTAATTTTATTCCTTTTATCATAAGCAATTGCCTGTTTAGGTCAAGGCTGTAGCAGTACAGCATGAAAAAGTCTACTGTATAACTGTTTTCATGCTGACTGTTTCTTCTTAATAGGATTTTCTCCAGTCCTGAATGTATTTTTCTAACTTGTAAAATTAATCTTTTGTATTTGATGTATTTTGTATTCTATCTTTTTATGGTAGGTCAGCCAATTTTGGAATACTTCCCTTTCTTAGTAGGACACTGTTTTAGTATTAATGAGAATACTATCAAAAATTTCTTATTTAAAGAAACACCAACAGACTGGAGAGATGTTATTTTTATGCAAGGAATCATTAGGCTGTGGTTCAATACATAACTGTTCAGGAAGGAAAGGGATCAAAGATACAAGATGTAATTAAGATAAATGTATGAAATCTTTTCTTGTAACAGTTTGGTTAGGCTGTGGTTCAATACATAATTGTTCAGGAAGGAAAGGGATCAAAGATGTAATTAAGATAAATGTATGAAATCTTTTCTTGTAACAGTTTGACTTGTTTGGAGACTGAACCCTAAGCTGAGTTCAGACATCCAGACATAGAAAAGCTTTTAGAGTCCAGCACATCATCAAAACTAAATTCCCTGTGGGTGTGTACAGGTTTCCTTCCAGTTTGTCTAAAGCAGTGTCTATGGTTACTGGCACTGTCAATTTTGTAATAAATCTTCCTACGAAGACTCTGGACAGAAAGTACTAGAAGGGATACAAAAAATCCAGTTTAGAGGTGTTGTAAAACAAAGATCACTAGTCTGTGCTAGGTGTTTTCCAAGTATAAAATGATTCCAGAATTTTGGGATTTGGTATTTTGTCAAAATGACCCAAATTCTTCCCTCAGCCATGGCATTTGTCTTTTTACTGCTTACGGGTATGTTTTTTTCTTCTCTGTCCTGTTGAGATTTTGCCAAAAGTCCTCTTTTTTGTTCTGCTTTCACATTCTCTTAGCAACACATTCTCTTAGCCACTTGTAAATGATAGCCAGAAATTGGAAACTGTAGTCCTATCTGGTTTTATTTGTGTGTTTGAGTGCATGGTTTGCAAAAGCACAGGTAGCCACAGGTACAGGCAACATGCTGTGGCTGGATCTCCATTGTGATGGACATGGGAAATGTTCAGGGTTGGAATATTTTAACTTTGTAGACATCCTATGGTTTAGGCTTTTTTGTGTCTTGGCCCCTGCATTTGTGTTTATTTACAAGTGTGCTTCATTCCACCATTGGAGAGAAGTGAGAGCAATTGTGCATAAGGCACTGGCTGCAAGTATAAATACTGTGAGTTTACTCTGGTGTGCAAGGTCTGCACTGTCACCTGTCCAGAGGTTCCTTGGAGCTCAGGACTTAAGATAAAAGTTTACAGAAATAGCTATTTGCATACTAATAGGAAGAGGTGAGCACAAAGCAAAGACGGCAATTGGCTGGTTTTTTTTACCAGCAGTTAAATGTCATCTCAGCTCTTTGATTAAATAGCTTCTGGAAATTTTTTTTCAGCTCTTTTCTTTGGATTGTTTACCACTCTTTATGAACAGTTTTTTTTCTTCTTCCTAAAATAATCTTTCTCCTTTGCTCCTGTCTGTGCCTGGTAAGCTCTGATATTTCTAGTTCACCTAACAGCTGTTTGTCTCAGTTATTTTACTTTTCTTTTTCCCCTTAAGCATTTACCTCTTTTTTTGCTATTGCAGAGATGATGTGTGGTTAGATAGTAGAAGCTTTATGAGAAAAGGATCTTGTTATGGGATATAATCTTGCACTTTAACAGGGTGCATAAGTATAGTAGTGCTAACATTTTTGGAATACAGGGAATATATTGGTCTTCTGTCAAGTGTTTACAGGGCTCTTCCTGGATCCTTTCCTAGTTTTTGTCTTGAATTTCACTGGAAATTGAATCTGGATATTGGAAATATTCTGAAGTGGCTGCAAACTTGCAAGGAGAGAATTAGAATCAGTTGCACATAAATATGGCAGCGTTCTGTCACTGAACATGTGTATCTTCTGAAAAATCCAGTTTATAATCTAAATGAAAGTTGTACACTTGATGCAGACATGAAAAGTACTCTTACACAGAAGATAACACTATTCTATTACAAGTATGTCATTACCTAAAACACTGAGCTTGTTTATTTCCTTTATTTTTTTTTTGTTTGGGAGGATTTTTGTCTAGAATTACTATCAGCCTGTATCAGGTTGACATTTGATAAAACCTAATGCTTTGCAAGATCAGGGCTGACATTCCCTGGATATTTTGCATTAATATCAATAATTAATATCAATATATTAATTAATATATTAATTAATATGAAAATAAAATTAATTGTAGCAACTGTGATTTTTAATAGGCCTTGAGTGGAAAAGGAGATGGTAAAAAGAAGGAGTCAACAGATGCAACTGAGGAAAAGTTGAAGGAGGAAGTTGAACATTTGAAAGCAGAGCTACAGAAGACATCAAATGGTGAGTATTGTTAGGACCTCTTTGCAAAGAAGAAAAAGATTGTTTCAACACTGAATTTCAAAAAAATATTCTATGTATAGCATGAACTCACTTCATCTGTTTCCAGAACACTTGGCATGGGGTTTCTTTACATTTGGCTAGGAACTGATAAAACATGCCATTGCCATCCCAATATTTTAGTAACCATGTTCATTATGAAAGTATGTAAGGTGTAATTGGAACACCTCAATTAAGCTGTAATTAATAACGAGTTGGCCTGATATATTTAAGTGGTGCTGACTTGTCTTCATCAATTACATGACCAGGATATGGAATAATTTGCAGGTTGCTTATAGGCATCAGTTTGATTTTTCATGTCATACATAGCAGCCACTCTCCCTGTATAAAATGGGGGATTTATTGTGGTTGAGGTTTTTTACTACCATATGGTTTCTGTCAGATAGCAGAAAAGTCCTTGACTAGTATTTTAAATTTATATATGTTCTGCAGCTGAGGTGTTAAGATGTTAGCTTTTTAATATTTTTTTTTTGTTTACAAGGACACATACCTACAATTTGTAACATAATACTTTTGTTAGCAGCTTCCATGTTCAAGGTTTAGGTTGTCAAAACTGCTTTATAGGCAGCCCAAATTGAGACAGAAGCAGATTTTACCTGTTTGGTTCTGTCTTACTGGGATCTCTCAAGGTGTGTGATGCCTGTGAACACCTGCTGATCTGAAATCAGTGTTTTTAAGATAACACAGCCTGCGATCTTGTAAACACTAATCAGATGTTCAGACTGTAACAAAAATACAAATTTTCTTGGTACGAGACAGTATGTTATCATCAAAACATAACCCCACTTTCATACTGCCTGGGACTGCTACAATGCTGCAAGAATAGGTTTTTTTAGAAATGTTTCATGAATCCTTTCTCGCTGTCCACTGGGAATTCAAATAAAAAATGTAAACCAGCTGTTTTCAACTGGGCTTGAAGCAACAAGAATCTTTAAATAGAGAGTCTCATTAGTTCACATTCTCAAGCATGTTTGATGGTGGGTTTTCCCTCTCCTGCTGTTTTCTTGAAGAAAGAGGGGGGGAAAGTGCCTTTGAAGTGGCAGGATCAATGGAAAATTTAAATGCTTATGTTTTATTTAAACTAACTGGTGGTATGTAACACTAATATAATGTAAGCTTTTCAGTCAGGAATGCTAGAGAAAGCTAAGGAATAAATAGATTTACCTCATGCTGCTTCAGCTTCATTCTCCCCTTGAGATGTTGTCCATCCAAGAGATGTATAAATTAAGGCATGCTTGAATCTTTTGTTAGGGCAAAAGTGGGAGAGAGGGTCTTTCTAAGGAGTGAATACGAAAATATTTACAGCCCTTCTCCTAATGCCACCCCCCTCATTGCCAATAACCCCATGGGTGGTATGGGACTTACCATGAGTGATGTTGAGGTATGTCTGTCTTACCTTCTTGTAAGTTTTCTTATATGTTATTTTGAGCAAATTGATAGCCAGAAAGCTTGAAGTACTTGATAAGAACAACCACATCTGGAGATGAAGCTTTCTGTAGAGTGTTAGAGGACGTGAATTTACTGTTTTCTTTTGAAATTCCTGCAGCTGGGTAGGTAAATGTTGACTGTCATGTTCACTAAGTGTGAGCAATGCATTACACAGAATGAAAGCTGAGATTGGAAAGTTTGTTTTGCCTCTTCTAAGCAATTTGTTTCATGCTACTGACCTCACATGACCAAAGTAACTTTTTCTTTGTGTCCGTGGAGTCCAATCCATGAAATTGTGGGGGGAGAGTGAAGGGTGTCACCTAATCATGAAACAAGACAAAACTAGTGTAAAAATGAAAACTTTACTGGTTTTAATTTTTGAGATTCTCTTATTGTTTGTTTTTCAGCTATGGTATTAGTAAGAGATATAAATTTGGATTTTGTTCTTGGTTGGTTGGGAGTTTGTGTTTAGGTGGTTTTTTGCTGCTTGGAAGGAAAAACTTTTTTTTTCAAATGCAGTTTCAAATATCCATTTCTCTGGTCTGGGACACTTATTAAGCTGCTGATGCATGGTAATATATTATTTTAGAGTAGGCTATGAGTTGAAAGGTGCGTTAAGTCAGTATAGTGGCAGCCAGGAGGAGTCCTAAATGTACACCTGCTTCACATTTAAGAAAACATTTTAGTATCAGATTGGTGTTGTGACTTCAAAGGTCATGCAAATTTCCTGTAAAGCTTTGAATCAGTATTTACAACTGGAAAAGGAAATGCTGTATGTCTCCTCTTCTTGAAATTGACTAAAATTATAGTGTAGACAGATTATTGCAGACTTTCAGGAGACTCATCTCTAGTTCTTCAGCTTTCTACCTTTTTCAGAAAACACAGACTACTTTTTTTTTTTTTTCCCCCCTCGCTTTACAGTGAAATCCTAAGTTAAGAAGACCTTTTTCCTATGCTCTGAACAGGTGGGGAGGAAGAATCAAAATACAAGACTGAGCAGTGAAATTAGTAACATCTGAGGAAAGGTTGGAATTAATTTTAAAGGTTTCTGACCAAATTTGCTTTCTTTCCAGGCTTGACTTTTCTGTTACACTTAATGCCTTTTTTTGCTTTATTTTGGAAATTAAGCAGAGAAGGCTAGTTCCTCACAGCTGTACTGCAGACCCACTTATTGTTGTCAGGGCTTTATAGACACCCAGCAGTGGGGCAAGCACTTTGAGAGCCTAAATCCATTTTTAGCATACCTAGACATGTAATAACAGGACTGGTTAGAAACCTTCTGAGATGGTATTCTATTGATACACTTATACATTATGAAAATGTCTCATTGATACCTAGAAATAAATGTACATACTTGTGGCAATACCCAGTGCAGATGTAAGAATGTTTCTCCTGCTGCACATTAGACACGTTTCTAACAAAATATTGACTCAGATAATTAAAGGTTCTCAGTATGGCTACTGGCCTAGGACCAATAGGAATTTTCTGGGGAAAGAAGACATGCCATGATATTGTTTAATTTTGATGGTTTGGGAGACTTCAAAAAACCACAACAAAACAAATTACCTGCAACAGGCATGAGGTTAGACCTGAGAGAAGTTTCCTAAAGCCTTTTGTCCTTTCAGTGGACCTTGTGTTGGGGCAGAAACAGGGCTTCATTAAATATGTACTGGCTCATCAAAGTCATTTAGGTGCTTTTGAACTTCAGTTCAACTTTTTCTGAAAATACTCTGTTTATATATTGATGTCATATATGGTGGGGCAGGAGGAAATTCTAATGGAACTTTGATGCATCATTTGAAGACGTTTGTTTTGTGTACAGACTGACATGAGTGTTCTTTGTTTCATGGTTGCGTAGTGTCGTAGGAGACAGGAGGAGAGCAGCAATTCGTGTGGAGGGCTGGTTTTGGAATAACTTCTAACTGTTGGCTATTCTACAAAGTATGCATGTATAGATGTACAGCTCTCACTTAAATATGAAGATTACTACGTGTTCAAAATATGTTAAAAATACAGATATTGGAAATGCATTTCATAAAACTGCTGCAAGGGAGAGTTCAGTTTGGCCTTGGTGTTGCTGGGTAGGCTAGTGCCGTGTATGAAAACTACACTGAGCTTCTCTGATGCACTCCAGTTTTTAAAAACAAGCAAGTTTAAAGCATTGGCCACAGTCTTGTTATTTGGCCAGTGGCACAGGGAAGTTGAGGAACAAAGTCTGTCTTACCTAACCTTGCTTTTTACAAGACTGTGAGATGATGACCAAGGGTGGGAGCCATTGAAGTGCCACATGCAGCAAGAGTTGATACTCACATTTGTTGACTGGAAGGGATGGCTGCAGACAGCAAGCATGGGTTTGTTATACAAGGCTTTTTATGCCATCTGACAATGCTATAACATCCCTTCTGTAACAAAATTTTGTTTTGTTTGAGGTTGCAAAAGGTACTTGAAGCAAATTCGTGAATTTTTTGGCCCTGCCTTCTCATTTTAAATTCTGACCATTATATCTTAAGAAGAGAATTCAGAATTAGCATGGAGTTACTTGACTGGAGTTGTGTTCCCAGCCTTACAGCGTATTTGTTGGCAAATCTCTTGTGCCGTCAGTGCTTAAATTCTTAAATGTGAATAGCTCTTTTTTAACTTGAAAACTCTTTTAAGAGAGGGCTCTTTTTTACTCTTCAACTAGTCCAAATCATTTGGGTTGTAGGCTTGTATTGTTAGCAATGCTAATGTAAGTTCCAGATCGTTTCCTTAGTAGCAAGCACTGTAAGTCAAGTGATGTAGTCAGACCAGGACTAATGGTTGGAAATGCCCAAAGAATTATTAGTTGTTTTTGTTGCTGTTTGGTTTTAATGTTAGGTTCTCCATCGTTGTTGAAATGAGAAGATCATAGAAATGCTACAGCTACTGGGCTGTGGTAATGTAGCTCCTCAGGGCAGTTTTATTCCTCATCCTTAGAATTCAGAGCAATCTGAAGTAGTGTCTCTACTGGAATAGGATTCAGAGAATGTTGTGAAAGGACATGTTCTCTACTTTTCCCAGACCATACTTGTTACATTAGGTCATGGACCTTCAGTCACACATAAGTGTAAAGTTTTCCACAAATGTCTTCCATTGAAACGCTGCCCTAGGAATAGTTTGATTTTTCTTAGTTAGGAGATGGAATGGAAAAGGATAGCCTACCTCTTATAGTACTGAGGCTGGGTTCTGTGTTTGGAACCTACTGATTGTTCCTCTCAATGGGTGCATTAATGTAGAAGCAGCATCCTCATCTGCCTGCTCATGCATTGACTTGGTGGGAGGTGTCAGCTGTGGGAGCTTGCTTGCTGCCAGTCCAGCTGTTGTGCTCCTGTGAGGCAAAGTAACAGGCCAGATGGAAGCCAGAAATAATAGCTGAGTGTATTGTGCACACAAAGGATCTCCTGTTTCCTGCTGGATCTGTGTTCACATGATAGGATCCATATGACAAACAGTGTACCTGATGAACTGGGCTGCCCTGCAGTGCTCGTGCTCCCAGCAGAGGAGCTGGGCACTGGTGTGGGGACACTCTGGTGCTTCACAAGGCATCCAGGGAAATTGGTGCCCTGAGGAATTCACATTGTCAAAGATGTGATGCTCCTTTTAATGGTGTGGCCCCAACAGGAATGAGTCTGGATTTGGTGGTTTATTGATGTTTTGGGATTTTTGTCCATAGCCAACACAGGTGGAAAGGACAATCTGTTCTTTGCTTTTTCTTCTCCTAGGGTTAGGCAAGGTATTTCTGTCATGCATCTGTTTTGGTCAAAACATTAAAACAATGCCCTAGCTTGTTCTCTTTCTTGACTTGTAGATACTTCTAGATATTTTGTTCATGTTTTAAAGATAAAGTAGTTTTTAGTTGCAACTGTGCTGCTACTAATAAATAACTAAATAGTGTTAGATCAATAACATTGAGTTACAACTTCTTCAGAAGTGAGATCTTATTAATTTTTACTATACCATGTACAAGAATGTTCAAACAAAAGCAAGATTTATCTTTCTAATTAGCAGGTTCTTGGAGAAGTGAAGTAGCATATATATTTTTTTTGTCTACAACTTAAAATTCAGAAGTCTATCAAATTGTCACAAGTTTATTTTATTGATATCAAAATTTTACTGTTGAAAATTTTAAACAGTTCTGAGGTCAGAGAGAGCGTAGATGCAGTGGGGTTTGACTTGTCACATGTGTGGAAATCAAAGTTACTCCAAATACCAAAACCTTCAGAAAATATGTATTGATGCTGTCAAGAATGACTTAAAGGATGAAGGAAAACTGTGTAAGAGTATGGAAATGAAAGAAAGGAGAAATTAAAGAGAAATTACAAGGTTTTAATCCTGTTGGACTCAATAAACAGAAGTGTTATTGACTCTAGTGAATCAGAATTTCAGGGTAGGTAAAAATCCTGTTACAGGAAAACCACTTGCAGAGTTCTGAAATGAGAATTATTTTTCATCTGTACATTTGAATTAATTATTTAAAAATAACTGAAATTCTGGGTGAGGGAATTCTCCTTCTTGCATGTAAGAGAGTGGTTGAATCTCATTTCCTGATGTTTCAGGAACTAGAACCCAAAGAGAAATCTGGTTCATACCAGACTGCTTGTAAGTCAGTGCTTAACAAAAACCACATCTAGCTCGTCATCTTTTCAGAAGAGGCTTTTAGAGGTGCTGCAGTTCTTCAGTGCAGTGGAGGTCTCTGGGAAAGAAGTCTCTCCCAGGGAGTTCACAGTCAAAGGACAGATTCACACATTTGGAACAAGGAAATTTGCTAATATTCTTTTTTTTGTTTGTAAAAAATAAATTATTTGGTTGTTTAGGGTTTTTAAGTGGCCATGTAAGGCAACCTTACTAGGTCATTAGCAACATTTCTTTGTTTTCACATAAACAGATCAAGATTTAGACTATGCCTGTGGTGCTGAATCAGAGAAATATAATGATCTCTGAGATACCTACAGCAGAGGAATATGAAAATGTCTAAGTGACCTTACATAACAGCTTAGGACTGATGGCTTTATGGCACTTTGTGCTGTTTTATCCTGAATTGTAAAACAGCCCCAATGGAGTCCTAGGCTGTTTGATACTGCAGCATAGACATGCTCTCAGTTTGTGTTGAGATGGAGTAGAATAATAATTACTTTTTTCTCATGTTAAAAACTTGTTCAGAGTTGTTTATCCCACCACCATTTCTGCCTTTTCATCTGTAAACTGATGCTGCTAATCAATTAATTCATGCATGGTAAAATTCAGAACAGGGTGAAAAGGTGAGGTCTGTGCTCCTATAATCATGTATCATCTTCCTCCTTACTGTGTTTTGTAGATCATCTCAGTTGCTGTGTGAAAATCCTGCCCAGTGTTTGAGTTCCCTCCTCTTCTTAAGAGGTCTGACAGTTTTGATTTTGGAGTTGCTGAGTTTTGTTTATCTAGAGCTGTCTCCTGCAATGTGACAACACTGTACTCATCACTAACCAGTCCCCTGTTTCAGGAGTTCATTGGTCTCACCCCTACTTTTCTTTCAGGCCCTTCCTGTTCCTTGTGCTGATCTTTCTGACCCTTGGCCATTCTCTTTCTGCTCCCTGTCCTCAACTTCTCAGGTTCCTGTGTCCATCTGTGATGCTGTGTTTTAAATTCTAAGCTATTTTAGAGGAAGGACTGTCTATTGCAGTGGAGCCCTCATGCACATCTAGGGCTCTGAGGAACTGCAGGAATGCAAGTAATAATTAAAACACCAATTCTGGTATTTTACAGCTTTCCATAAGGCAAAAACTGAAGTGGCTGCAGTTAAAAAGCAGTCTGAAGGCCTTAGAAGAGAATATGAGCATCTGATGAAAGAATTTGAACAGCTTCAGGTAGGTGGCTCTGGATCGCCATACAAGCACTGTGTTTTGAAATTGTACCGGCAAAATTCTGTTTGTTTTGAGAGAATTTACCAAAATCTTTAGGATAGCATAAAGTTACAACAGGCAGCATTCCTTAAACTTCTTCAAAGTAGTAGAATTTTGTTTTGCAAAGCATTTTATTTTTTGCACTTTGGTTGACAAAGCTCAGGTTATCATTAGCTTCAATTTTACTGTTACTTGGAAAATAAGATTCAGATGGCTTTGTATGTGATGATCACTGAAATACTGTAAGAAAACTTTAGGAGGGGATGTGTGGGTGTATGGTGGGGGGAGCATATACATGATTTATAAAAGTAATTTTATTTTGTTTGCTCTTAAAACATGCTTTTGCAATCCTGGATTTTAAATGTTGCAATACTGTTGATACACAAGGATAAAAAAACCCAACAACAGCCTAGACTAAAAACAGGCTACTATAAAATTCAAACTGAAGTACAAAATAGTTGTTAAAAACCAAACCACATTAAGCAAAAGTTCAGTTAGCTGTTTGATTGAGTTTCTTGTGTATCTGGCTCTAATACTCATAAGATACACAGTAAGTATCAGTAAATAGAACCTGGAAGTTTGTATTTTTAAGTTGTCTGACAGGTGTTCATATGCTCCATACCTAACATCTGTCTTGAGCAAAATTCAGTAAAAATTAAAGTTAGCCTATTTACAAGTAGTGGTCTTGGGAGAAAATAAATTATTATTAAAATTATGGTGACCTGCTTTTCCAGAAGAGTTATTCACCCCTGTATTAATAATAAAAAAAAATAAATTAAAAAAAAAAAAAAGAAGGCAGTTTTGACCTGGTTATAATATTTTTTCCTGTGTTCTGGAAACCACTTACTCATTCCTAGCCTCACCCTGTACTTCTGCAGATTGCTCAACTGATCTCTATGTTCAATTCAAGACCACCATGCATGGCCTGTCCTTATTGTGCTTCCCTGTGTAATGAGCCATAGTAGTCCTGCTGCATTTCTAACAGACTTGTGGTCTAAAACACACATCCTTACCATCTCTTTTTACCTCTGAGTAGAAAGAACAGAAGGTACTGAGCACGCAGTAGTTGCAGCTCCCAGGGATAAATGAGTTGATAGCAGAAAATGCTGAGTTTGCTGCACAGCTCAGCTGTAAAACCAAAGGGAGCAGAACTAGGCTGCACAGCCTTGACTGCTGGCAGCAGAAGCTCAGGTGTTCCGTGGGGTAGTGTTGATGGGACTACAGCTTAGAAAGGTGTATGATGTACAAATCAGGTGTGACTGCAAAGGGGCAGAATTCAGCGTCGGGAGTCAGTGGTTTCTGATCTTGCCAAACTGAAATTATTTTTAATCTGTCTCTTTTCAGCAACGTTCAAATAAAGCAGAAGATAAGAAAGACCTGTAAGCGCATCTAAGACGGATGGCATCTATACAGTTTCTTGAATGAGAAAAGGCTTGTGCTGTTGATGTTCCTGATGAATACCTGAAACAAAACTTGATTTTTCTGAAAAGCACATGCATTGCAGGTCACTATTGAGATTCCTCTAATATATCGGTTGCCAAAATGTTCTGTGTTGCAAATAAAATGTCAAGTGGCTTACCGGATTTACCATGGAGTTTGTCACTGCTCTCGTGAGGAGAAACTCAAAAATCTTTCAACTCCACCTGGAGCAACCTGTTTACCAAGCTTTTTCCTCCCATATTGTTAAGAGATCACCATTGCTTGTAGCATTTGAGTGGGGTTGTAGATCACACTAGGTCATAAAAACAATTACTTAAACCTCCTTGCAGTACCTGTTTGGAATCTTAAAAATTCAGTTCCCAGTGGGTTGAAGAAGGCTGAAAACTTTTTTATCAGTGGAAAACTGAATGACAATCAGTCTAAGGAAAATAAAGAAAGAAACATTGCATTTCTAAATCCACCTCACTAGCTTGTGACTTTCAATTTAGCCACATGGATTTGAGTGTATTTTAGCAAACAATATTTTGCATGCCTCTGGTTTATTTTTCTTTAATATATTGAGATATTTCAGTTTTGGGTTGGCTGGTGTTAGCAGTCTTTATTTTTACACTGTTTACATTGGTTTACTCCTTATGTACCACCTAACTTCTTTAGCCTTGCTGAGTAAAAATCTTTTTAAATGTAGATAGTTTGGTTTGTTTTGTTTTGTTTTCATGGATACGATACCTCAAATAAATGTGCACTGTTTTGCATAAGACCTTTTTGGTATTCAGAAAGTTGTTTCGAGTTTATTTGTTAGTTGGTTCCAGTTTATATTTGAAAGTTTGATATGTTTGTTATATTAAAGGGATTGTTTAAGTTCATGGTTTCTGGATTTATTCTTGTAAATATCTCACAGTATGCTGTCTCATCATAGTTAATGGTTATATGCACTAGGAACAAAATATACTTCTAGCTTGGTGATGTTTAACCCTTCTTGAAAATACAGTCTTCATAGTGGTGGTTTTGCTTGCTCTGGAAATGCAATTTGTTTATCTTGGAATTTAAACACAGCTTATCAAGTAGTATAAGGCATAATAACATACCATATTAAATAAGAAGGCATCTGTTTTTAAAAAATACTTTATCCTTGCTGAAGTAGTACAGAATGTGTTTTCAGAGATTCTGTGACATTCAAGATTTTTTTTTTAATTCATATAAAAACTTCCAGGAAAAGTTACAGATTTTTCATACCTGCATACACATGTTTTGAAGATGTAGGTGAATGCATCTTTGTTTCATTTTTTCCCCACCCCTTTCTGAAATATTTAAAATTGTGGTGGAATGTTATCTCCAGTCAGATCCAAAGGCTGTGGTTGGAAGCTTTGGAGGTATAACAAGAAGTGCTGGTTTTAATAACAGAACAAAAAAACTCACATATGTTTCAAGACACTGAACAAAAGCAAATAACTCTTACTTATTATTTACCTTTATCTACTCAAATTTCAAACTCTTCTTCTGCTAGTGTAAGTAGATAAAAGGGTAGAAAATTAGAAGTTTATTATGAATGATGTTGTGCACTGTGTTTTTCATCCTTAAAAATTTATCTTACAAAATAACATGGAATAAAAACAGATGGCTGTGAATGCAGTGATACAGATAGTTCCTCTTGAGAAGGAACTCTGAATGGTTTACATATTTTTTTGCTGTAGAGCATGACTGAAGTGTGAAGGAATACAAGGTGATATGCCCTGTTCCTTTGGAGCTGGAATGAGGCTGGGTGTTTTGAGACATGCAATGTGCATTCAACACACAATAGATCCATGCTGTAATACTTTACACAGATAACCTTTATATCGGGCCACAGGGAAATGCTCCCTGCATTGGAGATTCCTTAAACACAGACTCTTGCCTCCATTCACTTCTGTCATGTCCATTACTTGGATGCTTTGTCAGGTTTCCCTGTCACAGAGCATGACAATCATCATTTTTGTACTTGTCTCTTGTGGATGGTCACACACATTTGACTGAGTTGCGTTATCACACTTCCAGCTGTTTGGAGTCCCAGACTTGTTCACAGAAAAATAATCTGTTATTAAGATTAAAATTATTTTGTAGATTCTGCTATGTAGAACTGTATTGTTGGAAAGAATGTGGATTTTGTAAAATTATAAGTATAAATAGTGTGTCTGGAAATTCTAGAAGATGGCAAATCCTTGTGAATACTTTGCAGTTGCATTGTTTCGCTTTATATGCTTTCAGGGCTTGTCAGAGTCTGGGTTGACCAACTTCAACTACAGTTCTCTCACTGATAATGTTTTAACTTATGGTTGATAATACAGGGAAAGAATGAATCAAAATTTCCTGCTTTTATCTCCTGATCTTTCAGGCTGTTGGGTCACATTTTGGTCACATGTGCCTGTGTTGTGGGAAAGAAGTGGAAAAAAGTTAAATCCCCACTAATACTGGTGGAATCAAAATAACTTTTGTACTCACGTTGGACAGTTAATTTATTCTGAGTATGTCTCCAAAAGTAAGAATTTGGAGCTCTTTATACTTTAAATAATGTCAAAGTAATTGCCTGGTTGTTTCAGAGCCTTTTTTCCCTCTTTACAAAAGTACAATTGTGTATTTTCCATACTTCGGTGAGGAAGCATGGGAGAGATTATTCTAAAAATATTTGCACAGGTTTAACTGACAGTAGCTTTCAAAAAAAATTTGAGGGTGCTTCCATATTTTTTTCATAAACCTCTTTTTCTGCTGAGTCAAGAAAGCAGTGAGGTCATGGTGGGTGCATGAGAGCTGACCTGAATATTAATAGACCTGGCTGCATGCCATGGTGTTACCTTAAATGAAAGCACCTGTAGCTAGGCAGGATGTTTTTCCCTATTTTTATTTTTGCAACAAACATGCGACAATACATCTTCCTTAATAACAAAAATTGTGCAGAGTCTTTTCTGAAAATGTGCCTTGCATTAGCACTCCCTGTGTGTTTGCTGCCACAGTAGTCCCTGGCTACATAGCCTCATTGAAAAGAAACAGTGCTTTCCTAGCTTCTTGTGAAGGGTGAAAGCTCAGTTTTTCTCCCAGCATTGAAACAACATTTGTTTTTCCAAATGTGAAGTTACTTTAAAAGTACTACATGGCTGTCTCAGTTCTCAAGTGTTCCTTGAAATTCTGAATTTACTCTTTGGGACAGAAGCCCTTGTCCTGCCTTGCCTTGCCTTTGGACAGTGCTTGTCCTCCTGCCAGCTATAATCTGGCTCCTGTTATAACCTAGTCCAAGTCATTTTACACATGAGTTGGAAAATCAGCTCTCAGTTACGTCATTCCTGTCCTTCAGTACTCTGCTGCCTATTGCTGTGTGCATTAATTGTGGAATGTCTGAAAACATAGTTCTAGAACTGAGCATACTTGGTTCAGGAATAATATGGCATGTTTTATTTTCTATTATAAAATGTAACACTCGTGCTTTGTTTATGAGGTAATGTACAAATAGGGACAAGCATTGCAAGGTGTGAGGAAAACAAGAGTCCCTCTAGTTTTGTAGAAATGCAGCTGTGGTCCAAAGGAAGTTTTTCTACCACCTGCAAGGGCAAGTGCCCTGAAAGGATTTTGCTATTCTATCTCTAGCTTTGGGAGAGCTAAGCAGAGAGGGAAGCAGACTGTACAGCCCTGGACTATACATGCTAAAAGATTCCCTGCTGGACTGTGTGACGGTGGTCTTGGTCTGCATGAAGCACCTCTGGGATGTCTGAATTCTCAAACATACTTGGGTGCACCAGGGTTTAGTGACTAGTAGGAGTTAGACATTAGTGGCTGTTGGAAGGGAGGAGATGCCAAAACCAGCTGCCAGGGAGCATGAATATGGGAAGGATCTCTCAAATTTGCCTGGAAATTGGACACCAATTACTGCTGTCAAAAGAATGTCTGCAAGACTCTTGACATAAAAAGCTGTTGCTCCCTTTATCCTGCTGCATGAGGTCAGACTGTCTGTGTAGCCTGATTCGATTTGTTCTTGAAAACACAGCCAGAAGAGGCAGTAGCTTTGGTGATAATTGTGTTTTGCTGATAGTGTAATAACTTCTCACCTAGGTGGTGAGACCATATGCTGCATCTTACTAAGCATGAGGTTTAATTCCCTGTTCCTGTGACTATGGAAGAAGAAGGTGCTAAACTACTCCTTTCTTTGTGAGTTTAAGAGGGTATGGAATGGACAGTGTGAGAGGAAGGAAGAGAGAAGCTGTTATTCTTGGCCAGTAAGGACAAATCTTAGGCTTTGATTCTTCTCCAGACATGACGTGGGCATTAGAGGTCTAAGGAAACAGAGCATACAGTGAAGTAGGGGTCTTGGAAACAGGCTGTGTATCTGTCCTAGGTTGTTTGTTTGTTTCATACCAAGTACAAAGTGAACATGAACTAATTAGAAAATCATAGCAAATAATAAGGTAAACAAAAAAATCAGAAGACTGGTGCAGATTTCAAGCTAAAAAACACCTGAACACCCTTCCCCAAAAAAAAAAAAAAAAAAAAAAAAAAAAAAAAAACAACAAAAAACCAAAAAACCAAAAACAACTAAATAAAAAAGCTAAAGTTGAAAAATGAAAAACTAAGAACCTGCCTTCTGGCTTGAAAGGTAAAAGGAAAGGAGATGCATCCTGAGTGGGGTCAGCAACATCACAGTTCAGAAACACGTTGCATCTGATTTGACACAGATGTTTCTCTGTGTATGGGATCCATTCTGAGCTAGGGTTTACAGTCTTTAGCTTCTTCCTCAAATAATTGTATTTTCCAATTCTGGTAAATGCGTTGTGTTACACAGATGGAAATGATTTTTTTTTCCTTGAAACCTCTTGTCCTTGAACTTGCATACTTCTGCCCTGCCAATATTTATGGTCCTACAGAGTTCTCATCTATACATCATCTGCAGGTGCTCCTACCACATCTCATCACCTGAGGTGCTGAAGCTTGGAGTGCTGTTCAGGCAGATGTGCTGCAGGAAACAAATTTGCAAGGACTGTGAGTTACAGTCAATTCAGATTCTACTGACTGCACCCTTCCTGTGTTAATTACTTGTTCAGTACTATGTCTTTTCCTCTTGATATCAAGCACTTCTCCTCTAAAATCCTACTCATGTAAGTAAAAAGATAAATGTAGTTTTGTGGATATTCTAGGAGAAAATAAGATGTTATACACAGGCAGTCCTGAAAACTGAGTTTCAGTGGTAAGTGTAGGGCATCTACATTGGGTCCTGCAAATGATTTTGCTGTTGCCCTTTGCTTCTATGATTAGCCTAGAAGCCATTATGCCTGCTGAAGTAATTTAATTGTCTTTGTATTGTATTAATTTGGCATTAATTGTATTGATTTTACAGCTAAGTATTTATTAACTAATTTAGAACTAAGTATTTGTTAACTAATTAATACTAACTTGTATTCATTTTAGAACTAAGATAATGTTACCACAGCAGCTTTTTAAAGTTAATTTTCAAAACTGCTTTTCATGGTGCTCCATTTTTATCTGGAGTGGATTCTAAACTAATACATTACTCAGGTTTGATGCTAGCTCAGTTTTCAGTATGTGCTTTAGGCATAAAGACTTTAGACATATATCTAATATGTCTTTTCCAATATTACATCTATTTCCCCATACTGTTGTCTGCTAATGAGAAAATCTGAAAGCTTTCCTACTCTGGATTAAGTAGCATTTACTTCAGACCACTTTCCTTGCTCCTCTGGAACAAGGCAGCTTCTACTGACTCGAGTGCCATGCTTACAGGCTTCTACAAAAGGCTGGGACTTGTTTTGGGAGGCTGGCTGCTTCACTGCTGGATACAACATCGCTCAATCATCAAAACAATTCAGCAGTTCACCCAGATTTCCTT